AACATCTTTTTTTTTAAAGATTTTATTTATTCATCAGAGACACAGAGACACAGAGAGAGAAAGAGGCAGAGAGAGAAGCAGGCTCCATGCAAGGAGCTCCATGTGGGACTTGATCCCGGGTCTCCAGGATCACACCCTGGGCTGAAGGTGGCGCTAAACCGCTGAGCCACCTGGGCTGCCCTCACATAGAACATCTTGCAATGTATTCTAGCAGGCCAGAAGTATAAATGACATTGGAAAAGAAAGTTGGGGTCAGATTTTTTATGTTAACAGAGTTTTACCCATGGTTAAAAGCTAGCAAAAGCAGTATCAGGACTCTACCTCAATCTTTGATTCTAAATCCTGTGGTCCCAGAAATTTTGGAAGGAGAAATGGGCAATATGCCACAGTTAGGATATTACTACTATAACTTGGCAAGAAGTTGAGGACTTGAACAAACAGGGACAAGAAAGGGAAGTCTGGGAGCGCCTGGGTGGCTCAGTGGTTGAGCATCTGCCTTTGGCTCAGATCGTGATACTGGAGTCCTGGAATCAAGTCCCACATCAGGCTCCCTGCAGGGAGCTTGCTTCTCCCTCTGCTTATATCTCTGCCCCTCTCTCTGTGTCTCTCATGAATAAATAAAAAGAAAGAAAGAAAGAAAGAAAGAAAGAAAGAAAGAAAGAAAGAAAAAAGGAAGTATGGATTCCAAAGAACTGTGGAGGTGATGTTAACAAGATCTGACAACTGAGTATATGGTGCAGGTAAGAAAGAAGGATACATCACAATGAGTGTGGGGTTTCTCCAGAGATGACTCACCACACAGTGCAATTTGGTTGTGGCATGCCAATGAGATGAATGTGTGTTCTTATGTCATTTAAGAGAAGGAATTCATAACAATCTGCTTAAATAAAGATTATCATGACAATGAGACTGCAACAAAAAGTACTGCTGAGATAGCCCTGATTATAGAAAAAGCAGAATTATTAAGGATCTGTGATTTTTTTTCCCCTCTACCACTAGTCCTTAGAAAATATGCTCCAGTATTTTCTAGTCAATTGAGAGGTAGAGTTTGACTGGATTAGAGGGTTGCTGGAAAGTATATAGCAGGGTTAAATAACTTATTGATACTAAGAGATTACAGAATATTAGAAATTGAAAAAGTATTAGAGATCACTTAGTCCAATTATTCCCATTTTTTAAAAAAACTATTTGTAGACCATTTCAAACATACATAAAGTGAAGAGAAATAGCATAATGAATCCTTAGGGTAACCTATCACCAATTCAGTGGTTATCAATTTATAGCCACTCTTGTTTCATCTTTATCCACACCCTCAGGTAACTGTAATAGTATATATTTTAATATGAATCTCTAAAATATAAAAATTGTTTTTTAACACGTAATAATGTCAGAAGGTGTTAGCAAATGCTATATCCAATAAGGGGTTAATCTCCAAATATATAAAGAACTTTTACAACTCAACACCAAAAAACCCAAATAATCCAATTGAAAATGGGTAGAGGAATTGAATAGACATTTTTCCAAAGAAAGATATAAACAGTCAACAGACACATGAGAAGATCTCAACATCACTAATTATCAGGGAAATACAAATCAAAACCACAATGAGATCTCAACTTCTACCTGTGAGAGTGGGCTAGTATCAGAAAGACAAGAAATAGCAAGTATTGGCAAGGATGTGGAAATAAAGGAACTCTACTGCACTTCCGGTGGGAATGTAAGTTGGTACAGCTGCTGTGGAAAACAGTATGGAGGTTCCTTAAAAAATTAAAAATAGAAATATTATATGATCCAGCAATTCCACTAGAAGTTCTTTACAGAAAGAAAACAAAAACACTAATCTGAAAAGACATAAGTACACTTATGTTCATCGCAGCATTATTTACAATAGCCAAGATATGGAAACAACCTAAGTGTCCATCGATAAATGAATGGATAAAGTAGATGTGGTGTATATACACAATGGAATATTACTCGGCCATAAAAGAGAATGAGATCTTGCCATTTGTAACAACATGGATGAACCTAGATGATATTATACTAAGTGAAATAAGTCCAACAGAGAAAGACTTATGTGATATCATCTCACATATATGTGAAAACTAAATAACAAAACAACTAACAAACAACACAAAAAAGTGAAACAGACTCATAAATAGAACTAACTGATGGCTGCCAGAGGGGAGGAGAGCAAAAGGATTAACAAATGGGTAAAGGGGAGTGGAAAATACAGGCTTCCAGTTATGGAATAAACAAGCCATAGGGATGAAAAGTACAGCATAGGAAATACAGTCAATGATTCTATAATAGCATTGTATGCTGACAGGTGGTAGGTATACTTGTTGTGAGCATAGCATAAGCTAGCTATTCAATTACTATGCTGTACACCTGAAACTAATGTAACGTTAAGTGTAACTATACTTCAATTGAAAAAGAATATGAATTCAATAGAAGTTAGCAAATTTTTTCTAAAAAAAATCATCACATACCCCCAAATTAACAATAATTTCTTAATACTATAAAATATTTGGTCAGCATTCAACATTTCTCCAATTGTTTCATAATTTTTCTAGATACATCTCTGAAGTCTTTTTCATCTATAGATTCCCCTTCCCCTTCTTTTTAAAAAATTTCTTGCTACTAAAACAGAAGCCAGGCAATATGTCTTATAAAGTTACCCACATTCTAGATTTTGCTAAATGCATCCCAATGGTGTCATTTTACGTATTCTTCCAAACCTTGTATTTCCTCTAACCTGACATATAGAGAGGCTTCATGAGATTCAAGTTCAATTATTTGGCAATAATGCTTCACAGGTGATAGAGAAACACTTGGCTGGCTCTTTTTTGGTCCAAACCACCCCCCTTATTTTTATTCAAGATTATTTATTTATTTGAGAGAGAGAGTGCGTGTGCACAAGCGCATACCCTACTATGACCAGAGGAAAAGCATAGGGAGAAGCAGACTCCCCACTGAGCAGGGAACCAGACCCAAGACTCAATCCCAAGATGCTAGGATCATGACCTGAGCTGAAGGCAGACGCTCAACTGACTGACCCACGGAGATACCCCAAAAGCCCTTATTTTTTAAGTATGGATTAAATTAAAGACTCAGTATTGTCAAGTGGTTCACCTAGTGGTAAAATCAAGAACAAAACCCCAGCCTTTTCGTTCTCTGTTCTCTACTCCTTTCATTATATCATAAACTGTTAACATCTTGCTGAGTGATTATAATATACCAATTACTCTGCTATGTATTATATGATATGGTCCCACCACTCACCACTTATTACCTAAGCTATAAATCCAAAAGTCATTCTAGGTTTCTTCACTTCTCTTATTTTCATTAAGTCTTATTTTCATTAGTTTTATCCATTTGTTCCATCCTTTCTACTCCCACAGCTACTGGTTTAGTTTAAACCTTTTCCATTGCTTTCCTGAATCACTAAAATAGCTTCTTGGAGCCCCCATTCTCCATAACTATCTTGCTTTCTTCAACCCAAATCTACCTTGTCAACAAAAGATTTTTCTAAGTTACAAACTTAGATATAGTATTTTTCTGCTTTAACCCTTTGACATTCTCTCATTTCCATGGGGGAGTCCATATTCGTTAATGTACCCTATAGGCCCCTCCATCACCTGGCTTTTGTCTCTCCAACTGCTCTCCTCTTCATTACTTCCACTCACAATATTCCAGTTTATTGAATCATTGAAGCTTTCTGAATGTTCCAGCAAGGATACATAGTGATTAAAAGTAGACTCTAGAATTAGACTTGACTCTAATCTCTATATTCCCCTATTTACTAGCCATGCAACCCAGAACATAATTAGCATTTCTGTATCACTTACCTCACCTGTAGAATGGGAATAACCCCCTGAATTATTTCTCTCTGTGTGTGAAGGATGACTGAAAAAGCACAAGTAAAAAACTAGCATAAGAGCACTCAGCAAGTATTAGACACTGCTGGTATCATTATGCTGTTCATTCATTTCTATATCCTTTAAATCTATTCCTAAGAATGTTTTCCTTTTCTTTCTTGATAACCTCTCCCTAATTAATAACCTAGAAAATTCCTATTCTGATATCTAAGCCTTGTAGATATTTAATTGCTATGCCCTATGGCTATAAGTCTTTCTACACCACTGTGAAAATTTTAGATAGGGACCAGATCATTCTTATATTTGGCTCTTCATGGCCAGGAATATAGACTCTCCACTGTCCTGGTTCAGTGGAAAGATAAAAAATTCAAGTTTGGTAAACTGAACACAATTGATGCTGTTGAATTTAATTATATCAATATTAATTCACGAGTCACTGAAGCATATTTTAAGAAAAACATAAAATAATTGATATTAAAACATTAACTGGGGATCCCTGGGTGGCGCAGCGGTTTAGCACCTGCCTTTGGCCCAGGGCGCGATCCTGGAGACCCGGGATCGAATCCCATGTCGGGCTCCCAGTGCATGGAGCCTGCTTCTCCCTCTGCCTGTGTCTCTGCCTCTCTCTCTCTCTCTCTGTGTGACTATCATAAATAAATAAAAATTAAAAAAAAACACATTAACTGTTCATCAGCTCCTTTCCTTTTTATTTAATTTCTTTTATTACTAAATTAGTAATGTAGAATTGAATCTGAGTATAAGCTTCCTTTGCTTTCAACATATTGAAAACGTGTATAATTATAAAATTTTTAAATGGCTAAATCTTTTGCTATTTATTTTAACTCAAATCCAGTATATTATTATATATATTCAGAATTCAAACTATTCATCTTCTTCTAAACCTTCAATTAAATTCCACAATGCAAACCGCTTGGCACTAGAACCACATTTCATGTTTATTCAACTGAGCCTGTGTCTTGAAAAAGTGTTGAAGTTTGGGAGTTTTCTGGTGAGAATCCACGTTCTGACATCACCTTGCTCATACCAGTGATTGGCTGTTGGAAGGCAAAGAAGAGTTTATAGCCAGTCACAGCGAGCAAATGAGTGAGTGAGAGAGCAGAGGAAATATTCAATCTGTGTCACTCACTCCTGTGAGCCTGCTTCCTCACTCCAGAACTGCAAAAGGGTAAGATTTACTATGACAACTTCATTTTCTTAAATTTGGACACTCCACATTTTACATCTCTGGATCTGGTTTTGAATTTTTTATTTAAATGTTGATGTTACTGAATTGTATGGAACGGCTATGTAATTTAACATTTGTTTATCATTAAACTAGTACCTCAGACTTTAGATTTTTTCCAAAAGGTTCAGCTTATTAATCTATGCAAGTAAATAACTTCTTAATATTGTGCACATAAACTAGAAAATTTTGCATTCTACTTTCTATCTCTTCACCTCACAAATAATTGTTTCCTCGTTCTGATGTATTCAGGATAACCTGACTGAAATACTATTTTTCACTTGTAAATCTGCCTCCATGTATGCAGATTTCACCATAAATTATGCATGATCTATACTTCAATTATATACAATGTCTTTTCAGTAAGTTTAGTTTCCTAGTGTTAGCATCCTATATCTCTAAAATCAGTGTGGAAAAATATATAGTACTAGAGAAATAAATAATGTTGGTAGTTTATCGTACTCTTCCCAATGAAAACTTGTAATTAGATTTCCAAAACTATCCTTTAAAAATGTTTGAATTGTTGTCTGGGTTAGTAGTGGTCACTATAGACGTCTTTGTTTTTTATGAATCACAAAGTAAATAAAATGAGATTTATGTAGGCAGCCAATTGCTGCCTACATGAACCACTTGGTTCTTTTTATATTATTCCTGCTATGTTTTTATCTAGTTGTTTTTATGGTTTGCTATGAGAAATTTATGTAATCAAAACCCTTTCTATAGTTCCATGTATTTAAGTTTTTAGCTCTTTAAGGGACCAACTCTTTTCATAAAGCTGCAGTAATAATCTCCCTGTTTGCTGGCAAGCTTAACCATGGTGACAAAGTTCAAAGTATTATTTAAGCACTCAATAGCAATAAAAAAACTTCTTAGACAGATGGGCCCCCTTCAGGGGCAAAGCCTCTTTATTGTTGTGTAGTGATTAAGAACTTTTACTAAAGTAGACAGACTATGAGGAAGTATGTAGGCATCAATATCAAAAGATCTAGACTGCCACAAATAGAATGTGACTTATAACCCAAGACACCTTCTTCAGGCTTTACATCTTACTCGGTATAATGTTTTAGTGTTAGATACTCAGTAAGGATACAATAAATTGTGGCTAATGACAAAATGCAAAATCAAACTGCAGAATATAGTATATGACATGGGTTTTATACTACCTTTTAAACATTACTTTTCCAAGCGTGTTTATGGGGAAATTGCCATCATCAATACGTATTGCTTATAAAATGCTGCCAAAGCTGTCACTCTCAGCTAAACACTCTTAGGTAAACTTATGTATACGTCAATGCAAATGGGGGGGTATTAGTAGTAGGCTTTTAGCTAAATTTATTCAACCTATATTAAAATAGGATTTTATCAAATAGAATAAAATTAAAGTAGGACAGAATTTTGCCATCCCTCTCTTTTTATTTATGCGGAATCTACGTGGAGGTGAGATCTTTGCATGGCCACAAACCCCAGGAGAGTTTGGGAACTACTCTCATTTTGAGAGTTGCATCCTCAATTCCTCCATAGAACTGCAGTCTCCATGATGACTATTGCCTTGACCCTGAAAAGCCCTTGATCCATCCTGTGACAGTCTCCAACACTAGTGATGGAAAGCTTAAATGGAGCTGAAGAATAACATTTTCTGAGAAAATTTGCCCCTGAAATCCCAAGGTGAAGTTCTGATGAACTCTTCTCATAGAATCATCCTTAGACATGGTTGTTTGGTGCTACATCCTATGAGAGTATATTTCACATATTATGGATCGTTTCATACACACACACACACACACACTAGAAACTATCCTAAGGTATTCATAGGAAGATGGCTTCTACTTCCCATCTCATAAATAAGCTTTTAGTTCAAATAGTTTTATATAAAATATGGAATATATATGTATATGTAGAATCACTGGTGTAAAAGCAATCATTTAAATGTATTCAGTTTGCTTTTTTTTTTTTTTTAAGGTTTTATTCATTTGCACACAAGAGAAAGACAGAGAGAGTATAAGCGGGGGGTGGGAGGAGAGAGGAAATAAGATTGCCCGCTGAGCCAGGAGCCTGACATGGTTCTCAATCACAGGACCTGGAGATCATGACCTGAGCCGAAGGCAGACGCCCAACCATGTGACCTACCCAGGCGCCATGCTTAGTTTTTAATTATTTAAAAAAAAAAAAGTCACATTACTACACTAACAATTCAATTTCTTAGCTGATATTCCTATGCCGATGATATTGGGAAGCCTCCTTGTCTCAGTGTGAAGTAGTACACTAAGCATTCAAGCCTCTTATAGTAATGAAATGGTCTGCCAATGACAAATCACAGCCGATAGGATAAAACCAAATATGGAATTCAAGATTACTTGAACAAACAGGTAAAGTCAGTTTTCTACCACTTAAAAAAAGGAACAATTTTAAAATAAAAGCCAGAAATTTGGTCTTAATTAGTCAAAACTATACCTGTACAGAAGTGAAAACAAGTAGTTCATCTTCTAGTATGAATAGAAGTTACACTCCCAGTTTTAATATTTATTAACCTTACCTCTTCATTAATTCCAGAAGCAATCACCAAAATGAAGACCGCTTTAATTTTGCTCAGCATTTTGGGAATGGCCTGTGCTTTCTCAGTAAGTTCTATATTAAAAACCTATAGTTATTACCCTTTTAGTATTTTTATGTAAAAGAGATAGTATGTAATTATTAAATGTTCTTTTAAACAGATGAAAAATTTGCATCGAAGAGCCAAATTAGAGGATTCTGAAGAAAATGGGGTAATTGTTTATCATACTTTCTTGGCTTGACTCTACTTGCCTAGATTTATTGCGCATTAAACATGACTATATCATTTATTTTGTTTATGCAGGTCTTTAAGTATCGGCCACGTTACTATCTTTACAAGCATTCCTACTTTTATCCTCCTCTAAAACGATTTCCAGTTCAGGTAATTATAAAAATTAATTTTTCCCACCCATTATAATTTAAAGGGAATCTTATTTAACTACAGGACATCTAAATTCAATTCTCACTGAAAGTCTGCCAGAAAGACTTACTTACTAAAAAAAAGTTTGCTTTTAATACAACACAATAAAATTTATTCCTAAGTTCTCTTTTAAAGCAGAGATATACACACAGAAAATAATAGCATTTGGGCCCAGTCTAGAATGATACAATAAAAGCAAATACCATGGTACAGAATTCAGGTATTTTGGCTAACTCATTGACAAAATGGACAACTTTATCTGTTATTGACAATCAGTGATAAGGCCACTGTCATGTTATAGATGAGTCAATACTGTCATACCACTGTTAACATTCAATAATTTAGAGTTCTTTAATTGATAAGGAAAAAATTTACTTCATAAACAGCAGAGACCATTATTAAAAACACTCCTGAAAATCAGTGGTGATTGCTAAAGATTTTCTGAACCTCTGACCTGTGTTGGTCAGCAGAGCAATATGTTATGCATTGGAATATAACTATAACAGTAGTGTATCTCAAGAATTGCAGAGGAAAGAGAGAAATTCACGAAGAAAACTGAAAGCTTGTAAGAGAAACAAAACATCCTTAAAATTTGTAAACAAGAAGAAAAATAATAAACACCAAAAATAAGAATTTCTGTTTTTACTGGGTTATCAGTAAAGAAAGCCTTTGAAAATTTGAGAGTGTGGTGTTGATTTACAATATTCAACAAACCAGAATTGTGCTATTTTTATTACTATACAGTTTGGGTTCAGAGCACCAATTATGCACCATTTGACCCAGGATTCCTAAGACACTAAAAGCAGTCAAGACGCTGAAAACGATGCCTCAGCACAGTGGCTTGGCAGAGCATCCTACCATATCTTGGGCTAACCCATTTCTAACTCATACAATGATAGGAAATGATAATCTTTAAGTATTTATAGCACCATAATAATTATGGGGAATGTATGTGGCCACAGAAATATGAGCACAGATAACACAAGAGTTGTGGGTTTTCAGAACTGTCTTCCATTCTTTGGTACACCTCAGACCCACAAATAAACAGTGTTCTTTTGAATGTTTGCTTCATTCCCTTTCTTAGACTAAATGGAAATAATAAATTTAAATTTCTAACTAGCTCCTCAATTTTCCTAAAATATCACATTAATTAGAGATATTCCCTTCTATAAATTTTTATAGTCATAATAAATGTGATCTAATTATAATATCCATAGTGAAAAGATATTAGGAGAGGTTATATTTTTAATTATTGATAAATTCAAAGTTCAAAAATCTTTACATAGATTTTTAATATACAAAATTTAGAGAAATTATATGCAAATTCATTTCAACTAATGTAGAATTTGTAAGTAAGACAGTAGTATTTTAAAAATATTCAATAAAATGTACACCCCAATCCAACAGTCTGACCTAGGATTGATGATCCATTCTCTTACTTTACAGAGTTTGATTTCTAGAATTTTCCCCTTACATGTCTACTTATATATTACCCTTAGCTCTGTACCATTTATTCTCTTAAGTCTATCATGTATTTGGTACCCAGATTGTTACCTTAAAATACATTAAGCTGTATTGGCCTTAAAATTTATGTTTTATGCAAACAAATCTGTGTTCATATATAATAATTTCTTTTTTTAAGATTTATTTATTTATTTTAGAGAGAGCATGCACAAGTGGGCGGAGAGGCAAAGGGAGAGGGAGAAAGAGAATCATCAAGCAGACTCTCCGCTGAGCATGGAGCCCAATGTGGGGCTCAATTCCACAACTCTGAGATCATGACGGAGCAAAAATCAAGATTCGTCTGCTTCACTGACAGAGCCACTCAGGCGTCCCTACACATAATCATTTCTAAAATACCAACTTCCATGAAATATCATACTAATCATAAAGCTATCAACAGTCTACCTATAGCTTATCTATCTGCTTGGCTATAGAAGTGAAAGTCTAAATAACCTTAACACCCTAAATACTTTTAATTGAGGAAATTGCTTCGTTTTGGAATCAAATGTTATTTGAATTATACGTGAATTCTTTGAGGGAAGAAACTTTATATTTATTATATTAGGCTGATCTCAGCTATCACAGTGCTTGACACATAGAAACTGTCAGTGTTTCCAGCTCTATCTCTTGCTACCACCCTCATTTGCAAAACAATGCCTGAAGCATATATTTTGGGATTGAATAAATGGGAGTGACAGAAGTTGAAAGGAGTAATAGCAAAATACACATACATACATATGTGTGTGTGTGTATGTGTGAATGTGTGTGTATTTGACTTCTGGAAGAATAATACGACTTAGTTACAAACTGGAAATAAGACATTAGAGAAAGAAAGGAAAAAAGAAAATGTCAAGGCTTCAGGGCATTTCATGAAGTTTCAAAATTGTTCTCACTGCAGACACCAATTGAAGAGAGAGGTGGTTGGGAAAGGAAGAAAGCTAGAGGTGAGGAAGCTTGTAAAGAGATTCAAACACGCCCACTGAGACAAAATACATTGCAAAAATATGCTGTCCTATTAACTAACAAATAGAAATACTTTACATGTAACACTATGCTTTATTCACCCTCTGGGCTAGGGAAAGCCAAACATTAAGGTCATGGCAGTGGAAGAGCAGGTCTAATTATTCTCTTTTCCATCCATGGTTATTCTTGGCTCAAGGGGACAAGCATTCCTTTTTCTTGGATGGATGACACAGCCACTGAAGAATGAGCTCTACAGAGACAGCCTTAAGCATGAATGCTTCCTCATATCTGATCTTTAACCCTGAAGTTCTTCTGCAGCTATATTTTCTAAGACCACAGTACTTAACTGGGTCATCAGAATCAAAGCTAAGATTTGTAGGACTAAAAATGACAGAATCTTAAATTGGGTATCCATTTATCTACCTGGTGGCTTAGGGGCGATTGCAGAAAGAGAAAGAAAATTCAATTTATCATTGAGAAAAAGATAAAAAATCTCCTCTACTGTCTTAAAGTCTTGATAACAGGTGTTCAGACATATATTTCCTTTTAAAAAGTAGCAAAGCTTGTTAACTTATATTTTTATATACAGACTCCTGGGTTTAAAATATTCTCATTCAATATTGAACTCTTTAGAGGGGTGATACTCTATAAGTCTCCTAAATGAGTAAGTGAACTAATTTTTCTCTTATATAATTGTTACCTCATATATATAAAAATCTCATTTATATATATAGAGAGAGGCTTATTTTATGAAGTAGCTTTAATTAAACTGGAAGATACTAAAAATTATATGCAAATCTAATTTCAAGTCAAATTCTAATTTAAATTCACCAGGAGCTCATTATTTAAAAGAATCATTCAGTAACAACTTTATTTCACAATAAGCCTAATCATCATTTCATTTATATTTTATAAAGAAAATAAAATAATGTGATTATGTGTTAGTTCATTTGCCTTGAACTGGTTGGAGAAGTCACAACTGATCTGGGCTTGATTCCCTTTCTGTAAAATAAATTGAACCAGATAATCCTCTTATTCTTACAGAGTTAGGCAATTTTGTGATTCATTGCTAGTTTTTACATATAAAATGTTTCAACATATTTCCTATGCTTTTGGGGTTGAAAATGGAGTATCTCATTTCATATCTTGATCACTATAAAATGCCTTTTTCTCTCTAACCTCATTTTCTACATTCCCAACTCCTCATATCTTTTTCTCATATTCTCATGAGAACTATTCTAAGTAAATAAATCAATCAAGATGCTAATTAATACTAGTTAGGGAAAATAATTGTGCATATTTTACCTAATTCAATCAATAGGAAATTTTTTTTGGTGCTGAATGTATATATACATATATATGTACACAAATATTCATATATGTATGAACTCACATATATATACATTTTTTTTAGAGCAGTAGTGACTCATCTGAAGAAGATGGAGATGGTGACAGCTCAGAAGAGGAGGAGGAAGAGGTAAGGAATTTCTGCAGGATTTTTTTTTATAACACACCAGGCAACATAAAACAAATAGGAAACTAGTCTACTGTAGTCTGGACTTAGCAAACAGCCACTGCCAGTTTACCAACTACCCACAGTCTTCTATTTTGGACAAGGGGAATGTTACTGAAATTAGAATCAACTAAAATTACCTGTTTAAAATACTACTGCAGGTACTTAAAGTTACCTATAAGAGGTATACAAAAACAAAATGTCTCCATTATAAGTGGAAGAAGTATAAATTCTGATAAAAAGAAAAAAAATATTATTTATACTTATGTGGACAGAAGACCATGGTAAAAGACAAGTACCTAAATTCAGTACAATACTTGTTTTAAGGAGTGAATTTAAACTCAATTTACAAAGTGGGTAGTATATGAAAAGCTAATCTTATATCCTCTATAACATTATTGTGATTTATCTGTCTTCCCTGACCCACAAAGTAGGGTTGTTCTTTTAAATGGGAATTTCATGTCCTTTTATCTAATAATACAATTTATGTTCTTACAGAAATAGAAATACTCAAGATGTATAAATATATATAGCACTATATAGTACTACATATTTTATACATAATACTACATAGTCCTCTATAATACTACAAATTAATGTAGTTCCTGGCTAAAATTAGTGTAGTTCATGGCTAAAACTCATCTGTATATCTTGGAAACTGTGCTAACATGTTTATAACTGACACTCTTGCTCAATATACTAATTAGGTACATTTTCCTGGATAGTCAATTATAGCTATCCACTGTTTTGGGGACCTTCTAAATTCAGGTATTCTTAAGTGCTATTTATGAATGGGCAGTAACAGTCAAAAATGGATCATGTATAAACATCTGCTATCTTGAAAACAAAATGGTATGGGAACTTTAAAAGTGACAAATAATTAGTTTGATTTTTTAACCATAAAAGTATCATTTCCCGTACTATAATTTACTCCAATAGCTTAAGGAAGACCTTACAAGAATATCAACCCAGTACCAGGAAAAATGCCACCCACTAAATCCCACAACATTTTGCTCAGAGTTCCACTTAGTAATCTTACATAAGAACTAAGCTGGGGTAATCCATTTAACTACAACTATTTGCTGTACAGTGATCACAAAATTGCCTTGCAAACTAGATTTCCCAATTAGACTACACACCTTTTGGCAATGGTTCTTCATTTGTTATGATGGTAGTTGAGAATGGAGAATGATAAGGACACCTTTAAAACTCTGATGAAATCACACACACTCAGAATCTTGCCAATAATCTTTGAACATTTATCTTCCTCCCAAAACTTATCTGCAAATTCCTTATGACCCAGAGGACTGGAGATCATGGGTTTCATCTCTGGTTTGGGGAGAAACAGTGCTGTACCCTTCTTGTATCTCCTCATATTGCCTAGCTCAGTTTCTTATACAATATATGGTGCCCAACAAACATCTGGTGGTTTGGTTTCAAAAACTTCAGAGAATAAATACTCCAAACATCATTCATTAAAAGTGATTACAGCAAAGTGGATGAATAAACCTGGAGGCTTCTATCTTAAAGAGATTCTACAACTTCCTTTTCCCCATTTCTTCCCTAAAATGTCATTGACAATTCAGGTTAAATACACAGAGTCCCCAGTAATTGTATTCATATGAGAGGGTGCTTAGACATATTTTCGATTTGGTGGTCAAATATTTTTTTCCATTCCTAAACTATTCAGCCTCACTTAAAAAAAACCCTTTTATTTTAATATAATATATACAACACAATTGTCATATGTATATAGGTCATTGAAATTTCAGAAATTGAACACAAGTGTAACCAACACCCATATCAAAAAGCAGCACTTGCATCCATTTCATTTTATTAACCAAACCCACAAAGAGCAATTGCTATTTTAAGGCCTAACAGATATGGTTTCACCTATTTTTTTTGTACTATATAAATGGAATCACACTTCATATATTCTTTTGTGTGTGGCCCCTCCACTCTCAACTTCAAAGATTGATCTGTATCATTCTACAACTGTACATCTTTTTTTTTTAAGATTTTATTTATTCATGCGAGACACACAGAGAGAGGCAGAGACATAGGCAGAGAGAGAAACAGGCTCCATGCAGGTAGCCCAATGTGGGACTCGATCCCTGAACTCTGGGATCACGCCCTGCGCCAAAGGCAGACTCTCAACCGCTGAGCCACACAGGCGTCCCATACAACTGTACATCATTCATTCCCATTGTCAGTATCTCATTACTACCATAATATATTATTCTTCTGTTGATGGGCATTTAGATAGTTTCCAAGTTTGAGCTATAACAAAGAGTGCTGTTGTAAACATTCTAGTATCCCTTCTTGTGGACATATGCATTTATTTCTGGAGACCATTTTACTTCAAAATAAAACTTCTAAGTCAAAAGGTCTGCATATGTTCAATCTGAATAGAGTCAACCAAAGCAGATGTATTATGCTCTCCTTCTATCAGTACATCAGTTGCTCCATATTCCAACCAACACTTGTTTCTTTCAGTCATTTTAGTCATTCTAGGGGGTTAATAATACTTTTTTAAAAAGCATTGCTAATTTTCCTATTCAAAAAGATATTTGAGACTTAATACCCATCAACAGACTGACCTGTTTTCTTTTTTAATTCACTGCAACACAATATCCTTAAATAAAGTATCTAAAAAAGAAAGGGCATTGTAGGAGAAAATACAGAAGTTCATGAGTTAAGAGTTTGGATCTTTAATCATGACCTTGCCACTAATGAACTACCATCTATTTGACCTCATGCAAGTTATTCATCTTACTGGATGTCAGGCTTTTCATGTGTAATATGACAGTACAAGACCTAAATTGTATGTTCTATTCTAAGAATCTTTCCTCCTTCTCCTCTGAAAGATTTAGTCTGTTGGAATAAAGCATAAACATGAAAAAATAAATAGTATGGTGTTTGTGGGATATTTGACACAATTAGCTTAGAGACTGTTTGGGGGTAGATTCTAGTAGTCCCAAGAGTTTACTGAAATAGCGGAATTTACAAATTTGATGAAATAAACATATTCTTCTTTAGTCACTTTGTTTTCGTAATAAGGCAGGCTAAATCTGGGTTGGGTTTGTTTTATTTTTTAGATTTTTATTCTTCATATAAATTTTTATTTTTTCATCTAACATTTTGGTTTAGAATTTGTGGGTTATCTTTTTTTAAGTTTTTATTTAAATTCCAATTAGTTAATATACAAGGTAATATTAGTTCCAAGTGTACAATATAGTGAGTGGTTCAGCACTTCCATACAACACCCAGTGTTCATCACAATTGCCCTCCTTAATCCCCATCACCTATTTAAACCCATCCCACTTACCTCCCCTCTTGCAACCATCAAATTTGTTCCCTATAGTTAAGTCTGTTTCTTGGTTTTCCTTTTTCTTTTCTCCTATGTTCATCTGTTTTATTTCTTAAATTCCACATATGAGTGAAACCATATGGTATTTGTCTTTCTCTGGCTTATTTCACTTAGCATAATATTCTTTAGCTTCCTCCACACCATTGTAAATGGCAAGATTTCATTCCTTTTCATATATATATATATGTATGTGTATATATACACATACATATACATACCACATTTTCTTTATTCATGTTTTAAAGTCTTTTTTTTATTTTTTTTAATAAATTAATTTTTATTGGTGTTCAATTTACCAACATACAGAATAACACCCAGTGCTCATCCCGTCAAGTGTACCCCTCAGTGCCCGTCACCCATTCACCCCCACCCCCCACCCTCCTCCCCCTCCACCACCCCTAGTTCATTTCCCAGAGTTAGAAGTCTTTATGTTCTGTCTCCCTTTCTGATATTTCTCACACATTTCTTCTCCCTTCCCTTATATTCCCTTTCGCTATTATTCATATTCCCCAAATGAATGAGAACATACACTGTTTGTCCTTCTCCGGTTACTGTGGCCAAGTTCAAAAAGGGTGTTGCCTGAGTTCTTCTCTGGGATTTTGATGGAATCTTGTCTCACATTTAGATCTTTCATCTATTTTGAGTTTATCTTTGTGTATGGTGCAAGAGAGTGGTCCAGTTTCATTCTTCTGCATGTGGATGTCCAATTTTCCCAGCACCATTTATTGAAGAGACTGTCTTTCTTCCAGTGGATCGTCTTTCCTCCTTTATCGTATATTAGTTGAGCATAAAGTTCAGGGTCCACTTCTGGGTTCTCTGTTCTGTTCCATTGATCTATATGTCTGTTTTTGTGCCAGTACCACACTGTCTTGATGAACACAGCTTTGTAGTACAACCTGAAATCTGGCATTGTGATGCCCCCAGATATGGTTTTCTTTTTTTAAAATTCCCCTGGCTGCTTGGGGTCTTTTCTGATTCCACACAAATCTTAAAATAATTTGTTCTAAGTCTCTGAAGAAAGTCCATGGTATTTTGATAGGGATTGCATTATACGTGTAAATTGCCCTGGGTAACATTGACATTTTCAAATGGTTCTCAAAATATACCCTAAAAACTACAGAACACTTCTGAAAGAAATTGAGGAAGACACAAAGAGATGGAAAAATATTCCATGCTCATGGATTGGCAGAATTAATATTGTGAAAATGTCCATGTTTTAAAGTCTTAAAACATAGGATGCCTACTAAAGTGATCTTAGCATCATAATCTCTTTAAAAATACATCGAAATGAATTCAATTTTCCAGTACTCATTCAAAGTAAACTCTGTGTATGAATTTCTGATTTTTAATATTAGCTATGATTCACATCAGATTAACTCTATTGACAAACAACTGTCTAACAACATAAAGGCCAAGAATAAAATGTTAAATAAAATTATAGTAATATTAGTAGGATTATAATAAGCATTCATTTGAGGAGTATTAATTTTTTTAAAACATCTTCATGTAATCAGATACTACTAAAGATCTTTTGGAGTGTTTAGTTTCTTCAATTCATGATAAAATTGATTGTGTGTCAAATGCCTAAAATCTTCTGAATACTCCATACAATACAGAACTGGCTTATATACTGGCAGATGAACTTTGAATTAAATGTGTTTTCTTGTCTACATACTTGAAATTCAATGAAATATATTCACTTCAGTAAATAAGACATTCAATCAATTTGTTTGAAGAGAGGGATTTCCATAAAAATTCATTCTGAAAAAAATATCCTAGGCATAGTGTGAACATTCATATAAATCATCCTCATCATCAAAAACATCATAGCGCATTATAAAGGGCTCAGCTTTTTAAATTAGAAAGATACAGCTTCATTACATATGATAAGACCTTTAACAAGTATTTTAGATTTTCTGAGCTCACTTTCCTTTCTAAAGAGAACAATAATCCTTCTTACAAGTCTACTATAAAAAATAAGAAAAATAGGTATAAGTTCTCAGCTGATTTGTCAGCATATGTAAGAATCCATTTACTACCATGTTGTAATAGTATTGATAAGACTTTAAGAGCCCAAGGCATGTAGAATACCACATACTCAGATATGCTGAAATTATTACATAAATATTTTTATTGATTAAATAGAATACAGAAATGTCTAAAACAGACTATGGTGAGGTAAATAGAATAACTTTGAGTTGAGTTCTAAGCAGTGAAAAGTGCAAATGGCGTAAGAGGAATTAAAACTATTAGCATTAGGTGATGAACTGGCTGAGGAATATAATGTTTATCTCAATAATGACTCATGACTCCAACAAATTTTGAGTTCTCTTCTAGCTAAAATAACTTTTCTGGATATTTTCACCAGGAGACTTCAAATGAGGAAGAAAATAATGAAGAGAATACAAATTCTGATGAAAATGAAGATGAATCCGACGCTGAGAACTCTACCCTCTCTGCTACACCTGGCTATGGAGAGGAGACCACACCTGGAACAGGGTACATAGGTCTAGCTGCAATCCAACTTCCCAAGAAGGTAATAATTCCTCAAAAATGTTAAATCTGATTTCATTTCTTTACTGAAATCTACAATCATCCTGACACTAAACACGGAGTATTTCATATCAACTTGTTGAAAAAGCAAGAGCAGGTTCAATTTCCCCATATACAAATAAGGAAAGATATTTTCCCAGGCAAGTTCTCTTCCCATGTTGTTACACTGACTTCCTACATTATAACAGAAGACTAAGGGAAAGCATCTTAGCAATGAATAAAAGGTCCTGAAAGATGCCACTGCATTTCAGGGAAGAGGATCCCAAGACAAAATGAATAGCAAAGCTGCAGGAAACCATCTCCCACTCAGAAAGCATACTTATCTAGTACATTTTTCTTCATCAAAACTCAATGACAAAGGTACTAATTCTGAATTTTTAAAATACTCATCAAATTTTTTGTAAGTTAAACTGGCTTCAATTCAAAAATACATCTCGAACAAGACCATAGGTATATCCTTTGTTGAAGGAATGATCTTAAGTTTTGACATTTTCACACCTAGATCTGAATTCTTTCAAACTTTTCTTTACAGGCTGGGGATATAAGACACAAGGCTACAAAAGAGGAGGAAAGTGATGAAGAAGAAGAAGAAGAAGAGGAAGATGAAGAAAATGAAGAAAATGAAGCAGAAGTGGATGAAAATGGGCAAGGTATAAACAGCACCAGCAGCAACAGCACAGAGGCAGAAAATGGCAATGGTAGCAGTGATGGAGACAATGGAGAAGGTGAAGAAGAAAGTGTCACTGAAGCCCATTCAGAAGGAACCACAGAGGCTGGAAAGCAGAACAATGGTGGCTCTAAGACAACACTCTCTCCAGATGGTGGGTTTGAACCTACAACTCCACCACCAGAGCTCTACGGGACTACCACCCGACCATCTGGGGAAGCCACTCCCAATGGATATGAGGAAGAGTATGAACAAACAGGCACCAATGAATACGACAATGGATATGAAGTCTATGAAAGTGAGAATGGAGAACCTCGTGGGGATAACTATCGAGCCTATGAAGATGAGTACAGCTACTATAAAGGGCACAGCTATGACAGCTATGATGGTCAAGATTACTACTACCACCACCAGTGAAGGCTCAGCCTGGGATGAATTCATCCATTCTGGCATTTCATGTGGCTACCATTTTCAAAGTTCAACTCAGGAAGGTGCAATATAACAAATGTGCATATTATAATGTGGAATGGTGCTACTATTCCAAAGTAATTTTCTGTAATTTTGCTTCTGTTGCTTTTCCCTGGCATGTTATTGAAAGCTTATTGTAAATCAGGGCCATTTAAACTAATCTAAGATTGAGTTCAATTAAGTGTTTTGAGTTTGTAGTTCTATTAATAGTATTTTTAATATGTTTGTACTATTATTATCTGCTAAAACTACTCTTCATGCAAGTGCTTCTAGGAATTAACATTAATGACACTATATACAAAATATGTGTAGTTCTTTAATCATACTACCTAACACTGTATATTATGTTTAATTACCATCATCATCTATTTTTATGTGATCTTTATGTATATTCTATCTATGGATTTTATCACAAATAAAATGCAAACCTTCAAAAATGTTATAATAAAGAAAAAAAAAGATTCGGAATTGAAAAAGATGAGTCCAGGAGGGAACAATATAATGGATTTATCCACTTATTTATCCAGCTTATTTCCACTATGGTTTAAGACTCAGAATAACTATAAGTATTTTGTCATGGATAAATCAACATAACTAAGATTTTGACCTGCTTGTGGGCACAGTCAACCATACATATCAGGAGAATAAATGGCTTTTGTTAGAGTTGCTAGATTTAACAAAAATTTAGGATGCCTAGTTAAATATGAATTTCAGATAAACAATGAAAAACTTCTTAATATAAGTATGCTCCGTGCACTATTTGGCCTCTATGAATTATTTGGGATATACTTATACTAAACAAATCACTCATTATCTATCTAAAATTCAATTTTTTTTTAAATTCAAATTTAATAGAATACTCTATTTTGTATCTGGCAACCCTACTCCTACTTGATTTGGTTTTAGGTGGGGTGGGAAGTGGGATGGAGTAGAAAATTCTTACACATACACACATGCACACCATTAAAAAGGGGTTGCAGGTATCATGACATCATGATGCTTTATACCTAAATTCTTCAGTACTTATAAATATAAAAAATTCTTCTACATAGCCACAATACCATTCTCATTCTCATTCTAAAGAAATTAAACACTGCTATGATAGTATTTTATAATATACAGATCATATTCACATTTTCCCAATTCTAATAATATCATGGATTACTAACTCATTTAATCCTCACAAAACTCTATCAGGTAGGTGTCTTTGTCATCCCCTATTTTATTGATAAAGGAACTGAGTCAGGCACAAAGAGACATACAGCTTGCACAAGGTCACAAGTGGCAAAGCTGAGGGTAAAGGCAGACCGGTTTTAGAATCTGTGCTCTTTGCCATTATGCTATATTTATTAGTGTATATTTATCAGTAATGGATGTTGGAGCCATAAGTGAGCAGGAAATCTCTAATGATAATACTGCTGAAAAATGAGATTTGTCCTATATTACAATTTTCTTAGAACCAGCCAGGTTTTATGACTTGAGCCCTAAAGAATCTTTTCAAAGCAATGGTCTTCTCATATTTTGGCATATATATTGTGCAAAGTTCATGAACTCTGGAGTTAGATGTTATTGAGAGTAAATAAATATCCTTCTTTAGTCCTCATCACCTCATCTCCTGCACGTGGAGTGTACTCAGTAGTTACTGTTCAGAGCCTCACATGTTAATGAGGTGCTCAAAATCATCATCTCTCTCCTCTCCACTCCCCTCCCTTTCTCCATCTTAGCACTTAGGTACATCCAATTGTTATAGAATTACCTGGTCCTTTATAATCCATAAAACATTTTTTTTCTTGCCCTAACATATCTTTGTAAACAAAAGTGTTTGATGAGATTGAGGCCTTGGGAACAGTGTAATCAATACTTTTTATTTGACAATATAGGTAATCTTATTTATTTGTGACTTACTGTCACAAACTATCTCAACATTATCATAGAATCATCAAATCTTAGATTTGAAAAATATCTTCAAAATCTGTGAAGTTTATTTACTAATATTCCAATATTATTACCTCTTTTAGCAAAATTAGTTAATCTTTTCTGTTATGGTTTCTTCTTCCTTTGCTTTGGGCTTATGTAATGGGGGTGTCTGCTCTGTAGTCTTCCACCCTCAAGGATTTGAGCTAGCTCACTTTAATTCCACCATTGCTCCAAGCATCCAGGAGTTTCCTTTAGACTAGTGGGGAATTTTTTGGAGAACTATGGCAAGAGGTTCACTCAGAGTAGGTCATGGCTGCAGAGGAAAGATTCACAGCCTAGCCAAGACACCAAATGAATGGGTAGTCTTATGATGAGAACTATAGTTGGTTAACTACCCAGGGCCTAGATGAAGGCAACATGATGTTCTTGGGTAAAGACTAGGGAGTAGATTGGTAAAGGCTGTGACTTAACCCAGCTCTTGGGCACCCCAACAATGACCCTTACAGTAATTCTGTCAGTTATATCATGCAAAATTTTCTTCATGGAAGGCCTCCTCGTCAAAAAATGTTTCCTACTTAGGATCATGTTAGAGTTCCAGACTCCTTCTGCCATTCTAGCTAGCTAGCCTCTCTGGTCTCTTGCTTCAAATTCCCTTCTCCTTTCCAACAAAAGTTTTATTTTCTATATTCCTTGATAGTACCCACTGATGGTCCATCTGGCAGATGATGAGAATTCAAATTATTTGGAAAAAAGGGGGAGTATTTTTATTCCTCCCAGGGAAAGATAATCCTTCTCCTGAGAATCAATCAAACGACTCCTCTGAATAGAGAAAAGATAAAAAATCAAAGAAGTTATGTTTGCATTTGGGGGTGGGGGAAATCAAGTTTATCTTTATATCCTCCTATCCACAGAAAATTCTTTTGCTATTGTTAACTTGTAGAAACCACTCTGTTGCTGTGGTAAAGATTACAGATGCCCATAATACCTGTTCTCCTTTCTTTCTCTGAGTACAGAACCCTGGTTTTTAAGCTGGGCCTGTGGCTACAGAGCAAATTCTAATTTCTTTCACTTTCATTGGAGCTAGATGTGGTCATTCAATTTAAGTTCTGGCCATGAGTACCTTGGATGTGTACCATTTCTTGGTTGTCTTCCTAAAGAGAAGTATTATTCTCTTCCCCTTTCTCCAATTTCTCTCTCCTACTGGCTGGAATTCAACAATGATGGTAAGCCATCTATGACAGTGTGCATGAAGCAATAATCTGTGGATGGCAAGGTGCCAAGACAGAAAAAGTCTGTATCAGACCAGCCTTGGACACCTACCTCTGCAAATAAACTTCTGTTCTCGTTTAGTCATGGTGATAGAGGATCTCTGTTATTTACATGCAAATTATCCTAACTCAGTAGTTCTCAAAGCATAGTCAACAGATCAGTAGCAGCAACATCAGAAATGCAGATTCTAGAGCACCACCCAAGACTCACTCAATGAGAGACTGGGAGTGGACAGGTGATTCCTGTGTACTTTAAAGTTTGAGAACCACTATTTTCATTAATGTAGTAGCTAATGCTTATTATACACTTACCGTGTGTCAGTTTTAGTCTAAGCATTTTACATATTTTACCTCATTTTTACATGTATTACCTCATTCTCAACAATTACTAAAAGTCTACTACATTTTGTAGGTAAGAAAACTGAGTTACAAAGACATTTAGTAACTTGCCTGAGATGATGCACTTGCTAAGTGGAAGAAAGGAATCTGCTCCAAAGTCCACACCCCATATATCTCTCACAGCTTCATTCTTTATGGAGAAAAATCACCCTGTTAAGATAAGTTAATTTAACTGGGAATCAGAAGAGGAAATTTTGCATAAGAGTACATATAACAACCCTATGTTTTCACTACTTTGCCCTTTGGTATTAATAAGAAGATATAATTTTATTGGTTTCACATCATACTCAGGTGATCAAAGAAGGTTCTCTTTAAGAACAGAGACTATTAGTAAACAAGGAAAATATACTTTCATGCTGTTGTCAAAATAGGACAAAACTTTGTCCCTTGTCAAGCAGTAAAGCATTCCTCAAAAAGCAATGTAATTGGTAACAGGGCCATGAGAATCTCAACTGCATCTGCTAGGTTTGCATGTCACAATTCGACTGATTCAGCCAGTAGGGAGACAATGAGCTCAAGTGGAGTCAAACAGTTTATAACTTTCACAGAGAGCAAAAGCAGTATCAGCATGATGTCAGCTCTCTGTATTGCTGGCCCCACAGGATGACACTGAGCCGAAGGGGCCAAATGACAGCAGAGGTAGTAGGTCATTCTGTTGTTGAGAAGCCAGCTCTCACCTATGGCTAAGTAGAGAGACTTACAAAGAGATCTGCAGTTGAGCCCTAAACAGGAGAGGCTGAAAGTCCTATGCTCAACTGAAATCAGGAAGATGGATGAGAAATAGCCTTGTGACCAACTCCGAGAAGATGGAGAAGTGGGAAAGGAACTGCCTCTGGAATTCCTGTACCAGGCAGCTTATCACTCCTTGCTCCAAGAGGAATCACAGGGCACTTGGCCAAGACTCAGGTCAGAATGAAGTCAACCTTTGCCCATGTGGTCCATATGGAGACATGCCAGGTTGTCAGGAAGTGGCAGCAGAGCTCTTCCCCTACATACTTCTTCCAGATTCCAAAGTTTGGGAGGCTTATGAGTTTCTTGGATCATTTAAAGAAAGCTGGCCACAGAGGGTAGTTTAGATAAACTAAGAAAGGTCTTAGGTCATGAGGAAGATTACTTCTGCAAGATGATCCTGCAGACATGCAGGCCCTCACCAGGCAATGGTACACTAAGAGTCTTCTCATCCCAGGCCATGCTGTGGAAGTGGATGGTCTGTGGTTATTAGTGTGGCCACAAGGCAGCTGCATCTTGTCACTTCTCTACATCAAGGCATGGAAACTACTTCTGCTCTTCTTTGGATCTGATGGCTTTGACCAATATAATTACAATGTCTCCATAACAATTCCAAGCTTAGGTCACAAAACTGGCCTAACAACTTCTGCTGTCTACTCAAGGCCTGGAACTCATGAAATATAAGACAGAAGAGACCCCCTAAGAAAGAATAGAATATAATAGAATGTAATTTGCATGGGAATTTTTATTCTTAAGCCAACAAATCCAGTTAATGAGATTTTAGCCCACCAAGTATTTTAAAATGCTGAGCCACTGTAAATTATTTTAAAATAAAGTATTTTAAAGTGCTGAGCCTATTCTACCAGAGAGAAAGGTCTGGAATATGGAGAAGCACCAAGGCACCATCTTAGATAGAC